TGAGCTACCCATTACGAGAAAGATAAGAAAACAGATTGACTTCTCAGTATGTTGCCTTTTAAGGATATTGATTAAGGCCTTGTAGATTACTTCTTGGAAGGTGTAAATGGCTAGGGATAAGTTTGTTTGCTTCCATAGACACACACAGAGAACTATTTTCTCTACAAATTATTCTCTTGTAAATGACATCTTTGCCTTCTCTTTATGTTCCTGAATCCCTTTTCCCTTGGAAAGCACTGTGCTTTCATTATCATAGTGAAGAGCCTTGCTTTTGTGATCTATCTCACTAATAACTCATACGACTGAATGAATGTTATAATCATGTATCATCTAAGAAAGGTGTGCTGAAGATCAACAGCATAATTTAGATGCAGATGTCACCTGAGGAAGATGGTATTAAGCTGCAAACTCATTGTAGTTATGAAGTAGGGCCTTGCAGATGGAGGTCATGGTTGCTTTTGTGGTCAGGATTTGTCCTTAATGAAAACAAGGTTGCCTGTTTCTTGGGTGAGAAATAACTTGAGTATGGTTTCTGTTTTTCACTTACTGCCACATTAGTGGGTTGGGTAATCCTCTTAAGTATGACCAAAGCTTGTTCTTAATGAGCATGTCTAAGTATGGGGTGTGAAAGGAGCAATGCTGAATTACAAAAGGATGCAGAAATTGGAAGAGGAAGGGGGCTGGAGTATGTGTAGATTTGGCATGAATAACCATGTGACCGCTTTGAGCAGGGCGGTTGGACTAGGTGACCTCCAGAGGCTCTTTCCAACCTCGCTGGTTCTGTGATTTCTGACATAAAATTGCTAACACTCATTACCTGTGAAGAGCCTAAAGCCAGCTGAAGGGAAGTAGTTAGAAAGAAGTCTGTAATGAGGCATTTCTTTACCTAAATGTAACTTCCCACCTGTGACTAAGAGATGATAGCTTTGGGTTTTCTGGTGCAGGCCTAACCTGATGATTGGAGGAAAGCAACTGCTGTATGTGAACTGGAACAGGTACAGCCCTATGTATTTCCAGAAATGGAAATTATTACTGGTAGTTGTTTCTTCTGTTGCAAATTCTTGCCATACATAAGTAAGCACCCTGAAGTGGTGGATCATATAAGTCTTGTTTCTGCCAGCTTGTCAGGGTCTCTTTTTTGGGCAACAACTCATCGTCAGGAAAATAGTGGCACCTGGACTTTGTGAAATATGCATTCTGCCATCACACTTGATATTTCATGTCCATTTTTTTGACTAGGATATGGGGTAAAGCAACAGCCCTGTGAAGGTTGTTGGGTGACCTTTTTGGAGCTGTAGATAGTAACACATTTTCATACTTGTCCTGATGGGTATTTCTAAAGTCTTAGCCATCCTGTGATCTGATCCGGATTTGTGGCTTTTGCTCTTTCTGAAGAGATTGGTTCTGAGGTGTTATGATGGACACCTCTCCCCTTTCACCCACATTTTTATTCTGCTTGGTTTTACCATTGAAGAAAAAACCCAATGCACTGCAGCCTAATCCAATATGTGGATAAAAGCTGTATGACCTTTTCCAACCTGAGTGTCTAAAAAATCAGTGTCTCAATAAAGAACAGATGACTTAACTGGGGAGACAGGAAGGTGGGGAACAAGTCACCGAAATAGAGTACTTTCACAGTTTATTCAAACTTTGTGTTGATTAAGGCCATTTAGTTCCAAAAGAGGTCAAGTGTCCAGCTGCCACTTCACTGTCTCTCAGCAATTCAGCTCCTGCAATAGCTCTTCTATGAAAACACACTGCTATGAACTGGTCTATTAAAATGAATTTGATCCTGCAGAGTCACTGCTGGTCTGCAGTTACTGTGAGGGGGAAGTCCTTGTCACTGGGTTTCTTCATTTGGGCAGCAGAGTGTTTTATTTTATGTGGTAAACAGTTTGCTGTAAATTATTAGTGAATACATTTTAGAAAGGTGCAGCTGATTATAGAGAAAACTTTTCACTGAGATTAAGGTCACCATTCTCATTACACTGCTATTAATGGGGTTTTGACTTGGCTGTTGTCAGCAGTTGCTTCCAGATAGGTTATGAACTATTTTTGCCTCATTGATAGTGCTCATAAAGACAAACAAAAAATAGGAGCAGCTTTATGAACAGCAAGGATAGCAATTTATATAAACACCCTAAGATACAGAAGAGTATGTCAAAGAAAAATATTGGTCTCTGACCAGTCTCTGTGCCACTACTTGGAGGTATTTGTAAGGGTGTTTCTTAATGAGATGACAAATAAGGTGGACAGGTAGGAAACTTTCCTCTTGGTGTACCTATGGATAATTCTTTTTAACCCATGCTGTGCATTGTCCAAAGGACATGAGGGTGTTTTGCTGGCTCAGAAGAAATTATTCCTTTATGTGTTATGTATAATAGAAAGGTGTATAGGTGAAAGGAGATGAAAGAGAAAAATGCAGAGATAAGAATTATTTCCCCTTCCTCAGTACTATGACAGAAGGATAGATAATAAATACCTCCTGCT